TTTTTTTCATTTTCACTTTTTCTAAACTTTTGCTTTCATATCTCAATTTCCATAAAAACTAAACTTAACACATTTAACCTTTAAACAAACCACAAGTTATTTCTTTCCTCATGTTTATTTATAGACATTTTACCAAAAACCAAGAACGAGGATTGAAAACTCAAGATGTTGCAATAAAAAACAGACTGATAGAGAGAAAAAAAAACTAAAATTCAAATATGAAATATTCATATTCAAAAAAAAAAAAAAACAAAAACTATCTAAAAAGTATATAAAAACCAGACACACATCATGTAGTTGTGTGGTTTTTAGCAACAATTCTTTTTATTTGAGTTGTTCTTGAGGATTTGAAACAAAAACCATCCATCAAAATAGGACAACAACAAAAATTCTATTTAGAAAAAAGATTTTGGTTATTTTTTTCTGATGAGTTCTGTGTAAATGACTGATGACATGCATATGGCTGGAATCTAAGAATGATATAAAATGTTGTCAACGATTAATCGATTATTCGTAATAGAAGAATTTATTAGAAAGGTTTAAGAATTTTGATATTAGTGTGGGATTTCGATGAGGAATTGACAACATAACAAGTTATTAGAAAAACAGATTAGATAGATCGAGAGTTTGACTGTGATTTTACAAGGGTTTTAAATGTAATTTCTAAAAGTTAACATCCACCACAATTCGCTAATTTCAAAACCTTTAAAAACTATATTTACAGTTCCTTTACTACTAACTCCTTTAAAAATAAACCGATTAATCTTGTTTAAACCTTATGGATCTAAAAAAAAAATCCATCATCAAACTATTACCAGAATAGTGGAGTATAAACTCATGCCTTTCCATCATCTATTTCATTTTATGACTATATTTTCCTTACATATAGTATTTCCTTTCATTCACTCAGTAAATCTCCTGTGAAATTCTAGTTTTATGTCAGTTAGAAAATGAATTAAAGTTTATTGAGATGAAATTTCTTTTACAGCCAATAAAAATGAAATCAAAATACTTTCAGATTGCAAAGGACACGAAAGGTTTTCATAGTTTTTTTTTTGTATGCAATAGAGTATTTACAACCTCAAGAGTAGAATTTCCCAAAATTGTTTTTTTTTCGTATTTGAATGCAGATAGGAAATTAGGAAAGAAACAAACTAAAAGATATGTTTATTTAATGTTCTAGCATATAAAATATTAGAGAAAATGGCAATGAGGGAATGTGTTTTTAAAACTAAAATTCTCCAAAGATTTAAAGAGAATGTCCAAAACAAGAAGTTGTTTTAGAAATAAGGTGAATTTTTAAAGTATATAAAATAATAAAATGAGGTTAGGAATAGACTGGATTCTTTGTGATGTTAGACGACTCATTCATGATTCATTATTGTATAAAACTAATAAGTTATATTATTTACACAAAGAGAGTTATACCTGGATTCATAATTAAACATTCATTTATGAACTAGCTCAAGAATCTCTCAAAATAGAATAACCTTAATTATTCTCAGGAAGTAGTTAAAATCATGTAATAAGTAATATTTTTAATCAATTATCATATTTACAAAAGAAGGAGATACATATATTATTACAAATGTATTCATAATTATTCATTAATGAACTAGTTCTAGAATGTCTCAAAACAGAATAATCTTATTCCCTTGAAGTAGTTTAGATCATTGACTTAAGATTTCGTTTAAAAATCGTCCAAAAAGTAATATTTTTAATCGATTATCGTTTTCACAAACAAAAGAGAGATATTATTACAACTGTATTCATAATTCAACATTCATTTCTGAACTAGTTCTAGAATCCTCCTAAAGAATGGATCTTTTTAATTACTCTCTGGAAATAGTTGAGATCATTGACTAAAAAAACGTCTCATAAAGAATATTTTTAATAAATTATGAAAAGAAAGAAAGTTATAATTCCAACAGGATTCACAATTAAACATTCATTTATGAACTCATTCTAGAATCTTTCCAAAGAGAAGATCTTTTAAATTATTCTTTAGAACTAGTTGAGATCATTTACTAAAGATTTGGTTTAAAAATCGTTTAACAAGGAAGAGTTGCTCGATGGAAAACATGTTTCAAAACAATCGTTATTGAACTTGTTCTCAAGTATTTCTCTTGGACTAGTTTTGATTAAGCACATTCATTTATGAACTAGTTTTCGAATCTTTCACAAAAAAAAAAAAGATCATTTAAATTATTCTCCAGATCTAGTTGAGACATTAAATAAAGATTTGGTTTAAGAATCGTCTAATAAGCAAGAGTTGCTAGATGGAAATCTAGTTTTAAAACAATTATTATAGAACTTGTTCTCGAGTATTTCTAAAGAGAGTGTTTTTATATTAAACTCTTCTTCTCTTGGGCTAGTTGAGCAAAATTTTGATTAAAAATCTGTTTATAGTAGTAATAGTATAAGAAAGAAAAACAGTTTTCAAAACTTTTCCATATAATTTGTTCTGATAGTGAAAATTTGAATGGTTTTTATAGTTAAACTTTTAAAGTTGTGCTCATTCATTTGTGAACTAGTTCTCGAATCTTTCTAAAAAGAAGATCATTTAAATAATTCTCTAGAACTAGTTGAGATCATTAACTAATGATTTGTTTTAAGAGCTAACTAATAAGGAAGAGTATCTAGATCGAAAACTAGTTTCAAAATAATAGTTATTGAACTTGTTTAAGAAACTTTTTAAACTCTAAAGAACTATTTCTAGAGCATTCTAAGAAAGAAGGAACTGTTTTCAAATCTCTTCCATATAATTTGTTCCAAAAGTAAATGTTCGAATGTGTTTTATAGTTAAACGTTTCTACTTGAACTAGTTCTAGAATCTTTCAAAAGGAGATATATTTTTCCTACAAACTAGTTGAAAAATAAGTTCCTGAGGCTTCCAAGAAAGCACTTAAAAATGCTTGCATAGAAATTGTTTTGTTTTATTCTCATAACTCTAAATTCATTATAGATCTTGCCTTCTGAAGTTGGGTTGAAACATTTTGAAGTAAATTTTTGCTTTCGAATGATTGCATTCTTTCACTTATCTTTTTCCATATCGTTACTTTAGTTTGACATGATCTATCAGTCCTGGAATAGTAGAATAGAGTGCAAAACACAAAAGCTTTATGACCAACACTTGATGTGAGTCTTACTAATATACTTATAGGAGTGGATAGGGATTTTAATCGGGATGCTAACGGGTCATTGCTCAATTAGACAATTTGTCAGTAAGTGGGACAGTAATATGCCAGACTATTGAAGGTAATGCGAAGATGCAGAGGAACTGGGAATTTGCCTCTATCCTACAATACAGAATCTCAGTTTGAAATGGCTGGGAAATAGATGCCATGACGAACTGGGGAAAATTGCGGGATTAAACCCTCGCAGTCTACTATGTTTTATCTGGAGAATTAGTTACTTGTTCGGCAGGAATTTAAAGGCAGACCTAGAGTCTCTAATATTACTTTCTTTAGGGAATCGTCTCGGTATATCTTCTGTTTCCAATCATCTCTCCTTTTTAAATAAGCTCTTTCTTGTTTTTCTAGTTTATTTGGTTCTCTATCTTTGGATATTCACTTTCTATGAAAGGAATCACAATGGACCTTATGATCTCCGAGTGCAGTTGCATCTTGTTATCTTTCTTTAGTGAATCGTTTCTGGATTGAAACCCCTTGGGAATCGATCTGTTTGAATGCCTATCTTATCTTCAACTTTGCCCTTTCTTGTTTTTCTAGTGATTTGTTTATCTACGTCTGTCTCCGAGTAGAGTTACATCTTGTTATCTTTCTTTAGGGAATCGTCTCGGCAAATCTTCTGAATTGAATCTGTTTCCAGTGTTTCGTTTCTCTAACTTTGGATCTTTACTTTCTAGGAAGAAAATCACAAAGGAACTTGATCTCCGAGTGAAGTTTCATTATGTTATCTTTCTTTAGGGAATCGTTTTGGTAAAACTTCTGGATCGAAGACTCTTGGGATTCGATCTGTTTGCAATCATCTCTCCTTTTAAACTAAGTTCTTTCTTGTTTTTCTAGTGTGGATCTTCACTTTCTATGAAAGGAATCACTATGGATCTTATGGTCTCCGAGTAGAGTTACATCTAGTTTCCAAGTGTTAAGTGTATTATGCACCTTCTGAAAATGTGTAGTATCTGTCCTAAGTTCTGATCCCAAATATCTTAATAGAACTTTATTAATAATTTCAAAATTTTAGTATCACATCTTTTACCTTTAGCTTTGCTGCTTAACCACAATTTTAAATCAATTTTTAACCCTTTTCCTCATCATCTCTTTTAAAATTCTTAACCCTAAACATACTTAACAAATTCATTCATATTTTTTTTCAATTGTAAAACAATTTTAAATCTACATATGATTAATGCATGATAAAACGGCGGTGGTGGTGGTGTTGGCGGCGGAGATGGTGCCGGTGTAGTGCGGTTGCGGTTAGGGATTTCTTGGTATTTCACAGAAAGAAATAAGAAAACAAAAACCTAAATTTGAAACTTTGTAACGTATTTTGTGTAGTGTTTGTTGTTGGAATTTTAGCCTTTTTTCCCCGTCTTGTCGTTAACTGTGAAATAACAAATAAAAACAACAACAAGTTTAAATAGTGTATGGTAAGTTAACATGGCAATCAAGCGTTTCTCAAATGTGTTTGTGTGTATCAAGTAAATAATGAACGTAGTAATGTTGCCATGTATCCCCAGAAACACTACAACAAATAATAATAAACATATTTGCTCCATGTCAACAAAAAAAAAAAAAATCGGAAAAGAAATAGAAACAATGGGCAAGTTAAAAGTGAAGTGACGGGAGACAAAGAAAAGATTTCGAATACTTAACTACAAGTAAACAATTAGTTTGGAACTTTTTCTTAAATTATTCTCAAAAAAATTTATCTTATTTTTCAGACTTTAAAAGTTGAGTGTATTGTTATTTTGTATAAAAAGTTTTTTTTTGAAATTTAAACAAAAACAATTTTGACAAGTTTAAATATAAAATTTTTATAACAAATACAAATTTTATATTTTTATTGCTAATTATTTTTTGAACTTTTTAAAGCTGATCTGTTGGTTTGTAAGTGCAGTTTAATTGTATAATGGCTATGAATATGGGTATTATGACTCAGGCCGATTTAAATGAGGCTGTCAAATTGAAGAAACGTAAACAATATGAAGAGGAACGTAAGAAAAGGATTTTCAATGCCAAACAACGTTTATATGGGGTAAGTGTACAAAAGGGGGAAAGTTAAAGCCCTGATTGAGAAACCACATACTTTTATTAACAGCTTCTGATATTCTGAATCAGAAGAAATCTTTAAATTAAACTAAATCTGAAAAGTATTTTCTGAAAACAAAGTTTCCTCATCCATTCAGCTCGATTTAGATACATTAGAACGACAAATAGCCGATAAATCAAAATTACAACAACTAGAAGCCGAATATGAACGACGTTATGAACAACAGGCCGAAATGATACAAAAAGTGGTGCACAATAAAGAATTGGAATTAGAGAAACGTAAACGTGACGTAGAGAGTGATATCAATTATTATCGTTGCCGTTTTCAGCGTAAAGATCAACGACGTGAATATGATCTAAATGATCCGGATTCTATTAAAAAATCTCAACCTGTACGTATAGCCGATGATGATTTTAGTTTGGGCATATCATCGGCTCAAATTTTCAATGGTGAGGATTTGGGACAACGAGAACGTCAACAAAAACAAAGAGAACAACAAAGAGCCTGGTTAGATCAACAGATATTGGAAAGAAAAAGAGCCGAAGAATCCCGCCAGCAGGCAGAAAAGGCACTACAAGAGTCCATAGCTTCACGGGATAAACGTTTAGAGGATATGGCCAATTCTGAGCGTAAAATACGTCATCAAATAGTAGACTCTATAAGGCAATATAATTGTCAAATGGCCCAACAAAAGAAACAAGAAACTCTACGCAAAAAGCAAGAGAAAAATGAAGATGATATGGCAGAAATCTATAATATGTTAACAAGTGATATCTTAACCGAAAATCCCGATGTAGCACAATCGAAAACAAATCCTAATAAGAAAATTGCCTTTATGTATCGTGGCATGACTGCTGAGGAATTGCAAGCATTTCGTAAAGATCAGCAGCAACAAATGTTGGATAAAAAGAAAGAGAAAACGGAAGAGCAAATAATGGAAAAACAATGGGAACAGTATGCTTTAAATATGGATCGTGAATTGAGATTAAAAGATTTGGAAATGAATCGCAAGAAACAAAGGGAATTTGAAAAAATATTGGATATTAATGATAAATTGGCTAAAGAGCAGAAACAGCAAAAGGATTTAAACAATAGGGTGCTGAATCGTAATGAAGTTTCAAAAGAATTCTATGAACAATTTAATAAGACCTCACGTTAAGGTTTTGAACAAAATTTTTGATAAAATTTCAAAATTTTAAATAAAAAAATCTTAAGTTTGTGTAAAAATTTTGTATAAACAAATGTTTTCTTTATTAAAAAGTTAAGAAATTTAAGGATTATTTTGGGGTTCTAAAGAGCATCCCAGGGGGACATATTGCTTTCCCAATTTGGACAAATATTCGGTGTAAGCAGGATTTTGGCTTGTAAATGCCAAGTTAAGGAAGGTTAGGTATAGAGCGCCGCTGCTAAAGAAGCAGCTCACTTGGGTTTATTAAGTTGGTCCCGTTATATTACCCTAAGTTAAGGAAAGATTTGCAAGACTTTTCTTGTTCTAAATTTAGAAAAATTCTTTAGTATAATAGTATACGCACAATTGGGACGAACGACGAATTTTTCGGAAAGAATATTCGTCGTCAGAAATAGAACACACTTGGGTGTTCTATTTCTGACGACACAATCATTGCGTATGACGAAATTCGTCGTACGTAACAACCTATGCGATAGGTTTATTTCTATTTCTTACGCAGACGAACGACGAATTAATTGGGGAAAATTGTTTTAAAACCAATTCCGGTAGCCCGAATTTGCCGAAATTTGGCGGTTGTGTGTACAGCTAATGACAATACAATATTATGTTCGAATATTCGAAATTATATTCGAAAATTTGAAGTTATGTTCGAAAAATTTTTTATGCTCTTAAAATAATCTCTGGGTTATAAAAACTAAAAATAAAATTTTCGAAAATTTCGAAAAAATTTTAAAGCCATTAAAACCAGTTCTCGTATACCGAATTGTCTGAAATTGGGCAGTCTGGAGTACACTTGATGACACTACAATGCTATGTTGGAATATTTAAAATTAAGTTCGAAAATTCGAAGTAATGTTCGAAAAAATTTTGAAGCTGTTAAAATAATCTCAAAATGGCGGATATTTACAAAAATATAATTTTAGTTCTTTTCGAGGCCAATTTCTTACATTTTCTAATTTCGAAATAATGTTCGAATAAATTTTAAAGCTGTTAAAATTATCTCAAAATCGTGGAGATTCACAAAAATATAATTTTTGTTCCTTTTTCTTACTTTTTTCAATTTCGAACAAACAAATTTTGAAACGAATTCGCAGTACGAATAATTTGATTGTGTTCCATTCGACGAATTTACGCAACGAATTTTTGTCGACTAGTTCGTCGTGCTATACGAAATTCGTCGTTCGTCCCAATTGTGCGTATACCATAACGGTGACTTTATTCTTTTAGAACAGTTTTAGAACATTAATCCTCTAAAGCCCATGGCGTGATAAAATGCCTTAAATTTAAGTCTTTTAAAAGATCCTTTAAGAAAACCCCCTATTTTCCTTTTTTTTATCCTTCTAATATATATTTCCCTTCTGGTTAATAGTTTTTCCATTCATACGTAATGCTTTCACATATCATAAACCAAACATGTGTTCAAAACGAAGAAAAAAAATACCAGAGCAATACAACACACCGAGCAAAACATGGTTATTTAAAGCAATTAAAATTCAAGAGGAAAAAAAAGAAAATATTCATGATAAAATTAAACAATAAAGGAAGAAGAAAAATATAAACGCCGTAAAGTATATAAGTAAGAAGAAATTTAGTAATAGATAGATAAAAAAGTAGCAGCTGTCAGTGATGGTATTTAAACAGGACACAACATACAGATAGGAAAAAAAGGTAAAACAAAAACTACAACTGCTACTTGTTGGAAAAACAAGCAGGAAAACAACCCTCTTTAAGAAAACAAAAAAACAAACTATCAGAGCCAGAAAACTAATCAAATGAAAAAGTTCAAAAGAGAAAATATAAGAAAAAACTGCAGACATAGGGATATTTAAAGAAAATATGCAGATAGGGAGTTCAGAAAACAAATGTTGAAGATATATAAAGAGTTCACAGGCGCTCAGAAAATATTATTAATTTGAAATAAATCATATCATATTTGTATAGTTTAACTAGCAAAAAATTCAATCGTGTTACCATAACAGATTTCAATAATCATTTACAAGAGTATTACACCCTAGTAAATCTCTCATATGTAGCAAATTTGTAAGGTTACAACATCAAAACTATGATATTATACTTGAAACATGTTTGCAAGAGTAAACATTAAAAAAACCTCTAAATATGAGTTTAAAAGCTAAGTTTTGCAACAATGCCGCTCTTGCAAATATGCAACAGAGTTTAATTATCACTAATAAAATGTTTCAATTTTAACATTTACAACATTAAAATATGTAAAATAATCTCATTGGAAGCAAATTTGTAAGGTTACAACATCAAAACTATGATACTATACTTGAAACATGTTTGCAAGAGTAAACATTAAAAAAACATCTAAATATGCGCTTAAAAGCTAAGTTTTGCAACATATTTACAATGCTGCTCTTGCAAATATGCAACAAAGTTTCATACTCACAAATAAAAAGTTTAAATTTTAACATTTACAACATTAAAATATGTAAAATAATAAAGACAACTCATTAATTGGTTTACAAGACTAAATTTCTTTAGAAACAAGTCTGGTAAATGTGCTAGATCTAAAAAAGACACTAAAAATAAGTTTTCTAACAAACTTGCATTGTTACTATAGCAAATATACAACAAAGTACAATTTTCTCTAATAAAACATTTGTACGAGGTGATTTTGAAATGATATATGTTTTGCAAGTCTTGTAAATTTACTGCAAACTGCAATTTCTGTTAATAAATATAACAATTTGAAAGTTTACCACATAAAAATATGTGAAACAAAGCTCTTTTATAGATTTACAAGACTAATAATCTTTACAAACAGGTTTGGTAAATGTGCTAGACCTTAATAGAAGGCTGCAAAATGGTTTTGTAACACAATTAAAGTGCTAGTATTGCAAATATACTAAAATTGTTGCAAAATTTGTTAATTGTTGTATGAATTATGTATAGTTTCTTTTGCTACTCTTGTAAATATGCTACAAAGTGTAATTAACGTTAATAAATATTGCCGTTTGAAAGCTTTAATATCAAAATATATAATACAATGCTTTACAACACTTTAACAGGTTTGTAAGACTAACAATCTTTACAAACAAGTCTGGTAAATGTGCCACATTTAAATAGAAGACTGTAAGCAATATTTTGTAAAACAATTATTTTATTACTATTGTAAATTTACTAAAATTTTTGCTAAACTTATTAATTTTCTTTGAATTATGTATAGTTTTGTTTACTACTCTTGTAAATATGCTATAAATTATAATTTCCGTTAATATTTATTGCCGTTTGAGGGATGCAATATCAAAATATATAAAACAATGATTTACATCACTTACAAGACTAAAAATCTTTACAAGGTTTAAAGAGAAGACTGCAAGCAAAGTTATAAACACACAATGAAATTACTACTATTGCAAATATAACAATTTTTCTAAATAACCAATTTAAACACGTTTATTTAATAAAATTTGTATTGTTTTACTTGTTACTCTTGCAAATATACTACAAACTGCAATTTTCATTAATAAACAATTTAAATATGTTAGTTTGTAAATCAAATGGCTTTGCTACGCTTGCAAATATAAAAGGTTGTGTAACTTCCACTAGTGAACACTTTACAAGACTAAAAATCTTTTTAAATAAGTCTTGTAAATGTGTAAGATCTAAGCGGGAAACTGCAGGCTATATAATGTAATAAAATGCTGATGTTGTATATATACTAAGAAGTGAATGAATGTTCCTCTAAAATACAATTTAAAGATATTAATTTTCGAATCATATTGCTTTTGTTCATTATACTACTCTTGCAAATATACTATGATATGTGTTTGCCACTAGTGCACAATTCAAATTTTAAAACCTACAAATCTGTGATCTTATACAAGTTTGCAAGACCAAAGATGTGTTGTAAATATGTTATGATTTAAAGAGGAAATTGTAAAGTATGTTTTGTAAATAGGTATAAACTCTGTTCTTGCAAATATACTCAGAGTTGTACTTTTTCATAACAAACCATCTGATGCTGAATATTTTCGATTCAAATGCATATTGTTTCATTTATCACTCTTGCAATCTTATTTATTTCAAAATCTTGAAGAATTAAGGAGAATTAATATGATATGGAGTTGGTAAAGTATATTAAACTTACCAGGCTATATGAAAGCATTTGCATCAGTCTAAGATGTAAAGAAACAATGCTTGATTCGAGACTTTAACTATGAATAATACATCTCTATGAGAATTACTGGGGATCAGCTATGTGGTCTTGTAAACTCACTTAAACTTGTGTGTTACTTCTTAAACCTAACCTACTACTCTAGTAAATACTTCAACTACAAAATATATTGACGAAAACTAATTTGCAATACTAAAATTCTTATTAAAATGGCTTGTAAATATACAAGATCTATAAAAAGAGATCGCAAGCTAAGTTTTGCAATAAAGGGAAAAGCTACTCTTGCGAATATACTACGAAGTGTGATTTTGTTAAAAACAACTTTAACAAGTTAGTTTTAATATTGTAATCATATTGTGTGATTTACTACCCTTGTAAATTTACCACAAACTGTGATTTCTATAACTGAACAAGTTCAAATAATATTAATTTTTATAAATTTTGTAATTTAAATAAATTTAAGGAATTTCCTTGAACAATATTTAACTTAAAATCCCTTAGGTATCCCTTCTTTAATAAAAATTAACATAATTTATAAAAAAAATATGTAAAAATTTTTTACAACTGTTAAACCCTTACATATATGATTACAAGATATACTGATAAAAACTTGCATACCGCTGTGTAGTTTTCTTTTAAACTGATCAGCAAAGCAACTTCTCAAACATTATTATACAATTTTCAAGCAGGATAATTAAGTATGGCAAAGAAATACAGCGTTTTTTTCTAATTTCTTACAACAACACTTAATATGTGGAGAAAGAAAAACAAAACATCTGCTCATAAATGAAAATTTTCATTGTTCTGAAGAAAATGTGAAAAAGAAAGA